AGAATCAAAATAATTGTCAGTCTCAGTTAAATACATTTTGTTTTCAGACAGTGTTCTTTTTAATTCAACACAAAATTTCTTTTGCCAGGCTTCTTACTGTCCTAGCCGAAAATGCCCCAAGATACGAATTCAGTGTATGAGTCATTCCATGGCAGTGATGTGATTCAGTTTGCAAGCATGTATCGGTTCCTTAAATTTTCCACTACAATTAATTTTATATTTTGGCAGAAGTTTGCATCAATCTATTCGGTAGTGCATTTTCACCATTTCCCTTAGAGGTTGAACATTCTATTTTCTGTCATCATCAATTTTTTTTATCATTTTTTTTCCTTCCAATGGCAATACAAGTGAAAAACACATGAATCAATTAGTTAGATAAAAGCTAGAGAAAAGAATGGAAGCCCCTATCACATTATTTGATGAAGTGTCTTTGCTGAATGTTGTAGATGACTGTTGAAGAAAAAAAAGCAGAGAAGAAAAATGCAAATCAAAGTTGAAAGGAATGAGCTTGGAAATACTTGTGGTCAGTCTGTCTTGGTGATTAATGTAATAACGAGAATAAATAAATCACTTCGCAAGAGGTGAGGAGGATGAGGGGTGGGCCTTGGTGAAGGTTGACATAGTTAACTTGACACTTGAGAGAATTTCTCTTTTGTTGGTAGCAGGTATAGATTATTTATAGAAAGAATTCCTCTTGCCACTAAGTCTAATTAGGCTGTCTGCTGCTATGGAAAAAAGAAATAGTGTATTTCAAAGAGGGAAGCTTCTCTCTCCTCTGATTCCCTTTTTGTCGCTGACCGGAGCAAAAAACCTGTTTTAAATACTGACCCAACTCTCCTACTAGAAATAGTTTAACTTCATAACCATAGTCACCACCACTGCTCAGGTGAATGGCAAGTGGCAAGGGAAGTTTTTTCCATAGACAGACCAGGGTAGTATGCTAAAATTATCTATTTTGAAGGTCAAGTTTATTCACTAGTTGACTTATGCTATTAGCTTTATTTATTATATTATTAGATTTGTAGATTGATACTATTTTGGAGTTTTATAATATGTTTCAACAATTATTCTAGTAAATATTTTTGTTTTAATTAAAAATGAAGAGATAACTAAGTTTAGTGGATTATTTTTCTAAAAAATCTTGAACAGATTGTGAATTGGTTGAAAGAAAAATAAGACAATACAGAAGAAACTTTAATGTTAACCAAGAAAATGAAACTAATCTTGCTAAATGCTAGAGCAAGAACAGTTTCAATATTTTCCCTAAAAATATGAGAAATTAATAGTCACTAAAGGTAAATTTGGATGTGATTACTGTCGCAAATTTGATATCACAAAACTCCAAGGAATTCATATTTCCAAAAATGGAAAACTTGCAGGAAAAGTTTGTAAATGTTCGGGAAATTTGAAAAAGAACTACCAAGCAAAAAATAATGAATAAACACTTTCATTAAAAATATCACATCCTAACAGTCAAAAATTAATCCGATATGCCAATTTGTTAACAAAATGAATGAAAAATGCTTCATATAAAATATTTAATACTGCATACAGTTTGATGAAACATTGCTGTCAATTCTCAAACATCGAAGATAAAATTGAGCTTCAAATAAAAAATGGACTGAATATAGGGATTGGTCTTCCTTGAAGCAAAATAGCAAGAAAATTTGTGTATATTATTTTCAACAAAATAAAAATGAAATATTTGATAAAATAACAGAGAAGAAATTAAAAAATAACGTTTTAATTGAAAAGGCTTTAACTGTCTCTAGCAAGCCAGTTTTAGTGAAAGAAAAATCTAGAAATCCACCTTTCATCCTTGCCAGCTTAGCTGAAATGCAAAAGCAAGATTTTGAATCAATTTTTGAAATTTTATCATATACTTTAAACAGCATAGGATTTGAAAACACTTACATAAAATAAAACTAATTGCATTTTGTTCTGATAGAGCGGAGCCAATGTAATGTTGGGGGAATGTTGGTCAATGCTCGAATTTTGAGTTGTTTTCCGAATGTTATAGCCTGGCATTGTTTAAATCCTTGCCTTTAGCTTTTTTCAGATGATTCAATAAAAGAAATCAGAGAAGTCAATCATTTAAAAATATTATTGATACAATGTATAAAATTTTTCATCAATCAAACCAAATTTCAAAATCTCAGAGCAGCTTGGAAATGAAATAAATAAAATTGAATGTGTTTTGGGGCCACGTTGGACTGCATGCAGTTTAAGATCAACAACTGCAGTTTGGTGTGCTTATCCATCTCTGTATTTGCTCTTCGAATTAACTAAAAAATTTCAGGCATGCAGAAACACTTAGAAAATGATAACTTTGAAAAATATCTGGCCCCTTATGATCGATATTTTGACAGAAAACTATTTTGTCCAAAGCATTATAAGAGAGAAATTTGGATTCGATTTAAGCAGAAAATTTAATTCAACAAACATTTAAAGCTTTTGAAATGCTCAATATTAATGATGGAGATTACGAGAAAACTTTTAATTCTAAAAAAATTTAATGTATCCATTCTAGTGAGAGCACAAAATTTAAGTGTTTGGCATGGGAAAAGTTAATAGATAGCACAATTCAAAATCCTGAAATCAGATTAATGAAAACCAGTAAATCATTAATGCGCGATAACAAGTTTGATCAGAATCTGCTAGGTTTCATAGAATATTTGGAAACGAAATACTGGAAAATCAGAGATATCGTTGTTCCTGGGAGAAATGAGGAAGATCAACTGTTTTTGACATTTTTAAGCATTGGATAAACAACAATTACTATAGGGATTATACTGAAATTTTTTTTAAACAATCCTATAACTCATATGTAATACCTAAGAGTATTCAGAAGGCAAAGAATATTTAAAGAATTGTCGCTATAAGTTCTGCTGAACCTGAAAGAAGCCTTATGAATTCCATTTGTACACAGGCAAGAAACAGATGAACAGCAAAAATGTTTAAAATATAATTATGATTTCTTTAATGGGGATTACCTCTGAATGACTGGGATCCAAAGTCATTGGTTATGAAATGGCTACAGCGTATGCACAGAGCTGATGATACTCGAGTGAAAAACAAAAAAGTGGAAGAATCAAGTGAAAATCAAAGAGCCATTAGGAAATATTTAAAAAATAAGCAATTTAAAACTAAAATAAAGTCTTTTCCTGAAGTCCATCTTTATTCAAAACTAAAATAACGATGTCCTAATTTATGTTCCTGTTATGTTCGATAATAACTACTTTTTCTTCTGAAAAAATACCAAAAATATTTTGAGACTACCGTTTCTTAAATGATTTGAATCCCATCACTGTTCCATAAGGATTTTTTTTAATGCAATTTCTTAAGTAAATAGTCAAATGTTTTAATGTAGTTTTAATCTTAAAAAAAGAATTTCATATTAATGTCATTTTCATGTAATTTTCATAAGTGTACATGATTCCTTAATATTTAAGACTAATGATTTTTTTTAAAATTTTTAAAATATATTATTTATAACAATCAAAGCAAGTGTAATGGAGTTGAAAACACATTTAAAAAAATTTTAATCAGCAAATTGAAAAAGAAAAATTTTTTCACATTTATTTTTATAAAATTCAAGCTTTTGCTTAACGCTTTGCAATACTTTTTAAAATGTTAAAAGTCATTGTGATATTGCAGTGAATTTGTTTCTATTGTGAGTGTTTGAGAAATTGTGAATACGTTCGTCAGTAGTTCATCATATGTACGCAACAGGGGGAAACCAAGCAATGTTTCGACAAGATAGTTCATAAAAAAAACTACTTTGATTTTTTTCATGTATGCTTATTTTGCCAAATCCATTTCCAACTAAATGAGGAGTACATTTTGAGTAATAACTCAAGTCGAATGAGGCTTTTTATATTTTCACTGACATCACCTTTTCCATATGATACAGCAAAATATTTTCTTCTTCTTTTTGCTTAAAATTAATTTTCTTGTGAATTTGCATTTAGGCTTCGCTCAAGGTAAATCACTCCACAATAACTTTGATTTTTGTCATATTTTAAGTAACCATTTTCTAAAACATTAATCGTATAGTAATTTAATGTAGGAAAATATATCTTTATATTTGGCTTGAATAGTTTGGTAAATTACTTATGTTTTGTTCAAACTTTGATAAGGAAACACTGCTACTGTGAGTAACAGAACTGTATTTCTATTTTAGACAGAACATAGCAAAATATATTTGAATTGTTCCTAATTATGAACTGTTTAAAGTTTGTGTAGAACTCTTTTAATGTTAACCTGTTTTTTCACTGGTGTTCTACTTTTTAACATTTTGTCATGCTCATGGCTATGCTTTAAATTATTATTTATCTTTCCCAAACTATATGCATACGCAGATATGCAGTTGCAAGAAAAGGTTTGAGTAGGAATTAATTATTCTATCATGCACCACTATGTTATGTGTGTCCCTTTTTATTTATTTATTTCAAACGTTAAATTTGTTTTCCGTCACGTTCATACTATATCAATTTCTACCTTTGATTCATTGGTTTCTTCTTTGATATCTTTTATCATGCCACTTGCATTTAATACAAGCCATACATTCTATTTTTATGATCACAGTTGAGGTAGAAGTCAATTACAACAAGCACATACTATTTATGTCAGAATCTTGACTTCATTACCAAAAAAAGGGACTCCATAAAATTTTTACAATTTTTCCTGCCCTACCTCAAAAATGAACAAGAATTTTTGCATTTTGTCTCAAATAGAAAAATGCAACAGCAGTTAGTTATCCATACATCCTAAAGCTGGCCAAAATTCAATATTGAGCATTAACTTTTCTTATATATTTATACCAGGAAACGAATTCCTACTTCCTTTGTTTAAGTGTAAAAAAACTAAGGTCAGATATTTTTGAAACAAACCTAAGAAACTATAAGAAAAATAGTTTATCAGAAAATAGTTATTCAGAAAAATAGTAAAAAGGGTTTTAAGAACTTAAAAATAAGATTAACATAAAATATTTTGAATACCTTCATAACTCAAGGGAATACTTTCCATATCACAAGTATCAGGCATATCTATGCAAAGAATAAAAGTATATTACAATAAATAGATAGCATTTTTAAGGTAAAAAGTTTTACATATTGCTTAGCATGCATAATTTAGAAACCAACTTTATGTCACAAATCAGGTAAGAAATAATTTTAATTACATTGAAAAATTTTTAATAAAAGTTATGCATTATTAAATGTTATGAACATCAAAATGCTTCATAAAAATATTCATTTCCATAGGTTATTAAACAGTAAAACTGCAAATAGGTTACAATATTACATTGATTCGAAGGGCCCAGTTTAAAGACTTCAAATTATTAGCCAGTATATTAGCCAAAGGCAAACCTAAACAATTTATGATGAATTTTTTTCTTATAGAAAACTTCAAATCAAAATACAAATTTACTATAAATTGAAATATTTTATAAAATGCAAATTAAAATCAAGAGTGATTTTACAGTTGAAAAAGAGTAAGTGAGCAATGAATGGGACAAAGAATGAAAAATGTAGATGTTTTATAGTCTTTGAGGAAAAGATATAAGAATAGGTTGAGGTTAATTTGTGAGAATTCTTAGACTAGAGCAGTAACATAGGATAAACCTGAAGCAGCATTTCATTAGAAGAGGACTATCATTTAAATAAATATATTGCATTTTTAATAAAAGAATTTGTACTGTCTCTCTTATTTCTTACTGTTGCAATTGTAATCATTCAGGAAAAAAGAGATTGCAGTAGAAGATAAGTTATTTGAATAATTTAATTCTGCTTTATTCTGTTTTAATCGTTTTTTATACTACTAGCACCGATTTTTTTATCAACATTTTTGCATGGTTTATCACATTTATATGCAGTCAAGTGCTGGTGGTTTTACTATATCTATCATTGAAAAGTCTAAAAAGTCACTCAGTCCAACTTGTAAGTAATTTAGAAATTAATCTTTAACAAAAATGATCGTTGTAAAATGTAAGAAAAAATAATATTTTTAGAATATGCATATATTATAATTGATAGTTTTATATTATCTTAATAATTGAGCATTCATTTAATTATTATTTTATTAATTATTATTATCTAATGTAAAAATTGAAAATTTGCATTTGCTAATATTTTCTTACATTTTCATGTTCATAAATTTTTACAACATAATTTATTAATTGGATTTGGATAAGAATTTCAAAATTACTTCAGAGAATAATAATTTTCCTTTTAATTATTGTAATTATAATTTTTTAATTCAATCCGTTTTAAAGAAGTTAATTTAATTCGGTCGATATTGAAGCCCGCATAAATAGGCCTATGCGGTCAAATTAAGGATTTTTTTTGTTCCTGAAAAATGTAGATGGCAGCACTTTATTGGATAATTTTTTAATCATTGAATGTTTTGATTTTCTTTTTAAGCTTTTCGATAGGGGTCGGTCGGTACTATATTTTTCAATTTCAGTTGAAATTTCAAAAATCTGGCAATTTACATTTTATTTGGTTATTCTAACTGTAACTTTATATTTTGTATCTGTAGACTTGTACTTGTAAAAAGTTTTCTGTGGCAATTTTTAGATTTATAATTTTGCATAGCTAAGTTAGTACATTTTTTGAAAAATGTAAATGAAAAAAAAATGTTATAGCATTATATTCTTTAATATAAGAATAATTCAATAATTTTTATAAGCTTTTTCTTGATTGATAATAAATATATAGCTAACTGGAATTTTTAAATTTAAATTTTTATTTTTCAAATAGTAATATGTTTATTTATCAAATTAGTTGCTTTAATTCATAATAGAGGGGTGATTGTGAGCCCAAGTCAAAATTCCGGAAAATTTCTTGAGTAAACAAAAAGAAAAAGTCTAAGTCGAAAAATTAAGTCGAAAAGAATAAGTCGAAAAATTAGAAAAAAATTTAAACAAGGTTTCTTCCTTTTTCTCAATATTTCTTAGTTTACTTAAAACATATTTAAAATTTTACTCATGCCTATGATGCCCTTGAGAAGTAATTGAAATTTACAAATATGTCTTTCTTTCTTGAGTTTATAATTATAATAAATATATACTGATAAAAAATGAATATTAATAGATGGATAATAATTATAAAGATGAATAATATCTTGAATATAAGCTTATAAAGTATCTGGCTCTCCATTACAAACAAATAAAATAAACTGTGCTTTTAAGTTCCACCGGAATAAAAAGTTTATTTTTGAAAATTTTTGTAATCAATGATTTTTTGAAATGTCTGAACCTTAGATCTCCGGAAACTTCCAGATCACGGCTAGCGAAAAATCCGGATTTTTTCAAGAGCACAATACGCCCTGATAATAACTCAAAATATAAACTTTACTCTCTAAATTATAAATGTATTTTGACTTTCCAGATTAAATTATTAATTTAAACTTAATTTTCATAAATGATCTTAAAATTTTGAAATGTTTACATTAGTTTATTTAGATTTCATATTTTAATTCAGCCTCAAAACAGATACCTATTCAATGAATTAAAATTTATTTCCAATAAAATGAATGCTAATACAAATTTTAAAAAATTTTTTTTTCTTAAATGCAATTCTTCGTTGTTGGAAATGGAGAAAAAAAACTGCAAAACCAACAGATGATCACAAATATTCCCTTTATCTTTTTATTCTATCTCTTAGCTTTAAGTTATCAAAACAAGTTCCTGGCCCAATTAATTACTAGAAGAAGCTAGTCACATCCTGGCATCATTTCCGTATTGGTTCTATCCCTGGGCAGAAGACTTGCACCCATGCCAGTGATGTAAATTTTAATGTTAATAGCTCAGTTGTGTCTTATTCCTGAAAATCAATTATCATACAAAGCACTAATAATAACTATTAGACTTAGAAATAAAAAGTATTTTTGGACCATTAGAATATCAGTTTTTTTTTTTTTTTTTTGTAGAAATAGACTTCTAGGTACCTTAAATTCAAATTTATTTATTTTCTGACTTTCTGGCTATTTTAATTTCCGTTACATTTTCAGATCGATAAAATTTTCTTAATTTGCCTTTTTAAGGCCACCCTGTATATCTACTATTAGAAAAATTTAATACTGAAGTGATTATACTAACCACGAGATAAAGATCTATCGATATATGCAGAAATGCGATCTGCCCTTGCACAAAGTCTTCTCTTTTTTAATGATTTGCCTGAAAGAGATTATACATAAGATACATATTTACTTATTTCAAATTTAAAATGAAAAGATTAAAAATTCTCTACTGAAAGTGTACAATGCACAGATAGCTGAACACCTTGAATAACTTTTGATTAAATTATAGGGTTTTCACATACTAAGACTCAAGGATATTACCTTGAAATTGCTAATGAATTAGTGTAAATGATATTTTAAGTTACAAAATCAAATACAAAAAGCACTTTCTCTAAATACTGCATAACTCAGAGTATAAGTCGGCCCATTGTATAAGGGTGTGTCAGACCTCTGAAAAAATCAAAGATAAAAATTTCTAAAATAAAAAAACATAATAAAAATTATTATCTCTACAAAGGTTTTCAGGATAAAAAGTTTTTTTAAGTTGAAAGTTATTGTGTATGCTAGAGAAAATAAAACTACATTACTGCAAGGAAATTTAGCATCAGTGAAAAGCTTGTGAGAGATTAGAAGAAAAACAAAGACAAATGAAGATTTAAGAGATATTTAATTTTGTAGCTTTGTGATATGTTTTAAAGGTTTACATGGCGTTACATTTTTTGAAATACTCTTGAATAAATTATACAAACTTTTCTTATTTTTAACTTTTTTTCTGAACATAATTTAAAGTATTGTTTCTAAAAACATTTTTATATGTAAAGAAAATGTGAGAGAAAGTGCAAAATTAATTGTATATAAGTATATTAATGTCTTTATTCTTGACTTTTAAAATATAGGGAGAAGTCACAATCTGGAAAATCTGGAACAACAATTTAGGCAAGAAAGCAATCAAAAATGTAGATGTTTTGAAGTTAATTTCCTTTTTTGCAAATTGCACTACGTCTTGAGAACTTTTTGAGAGTTAAATGATAAAATACAAAAAGACAGTACAAATATGAATTTTAAATGACAAAATTTGAAAGCTTCCGAGTTGGCCACCACGACAGTATTGCTGCAAGTACTTCCCAACTTGAATAATTGGAATGTAAAGTTTTGAGTTCAACAACATGGATAGAAACTTGCTTTCGTCTTTATTGCAGACAAGGGTAAACTACATTCCTTCATCGATTAAAATAAATATGGTGTTAACTATAAAGAGAATCAATAGCGTTTTGTGTGAAAATTGCCCTAATGATATAAAACCAAAAGAAAGGAAACAGCACTAAGCACTGTTGGTGCAGAGGTATACATAAAGCTTTTATTATCAGATGAAAAAAGCTTACCATGAAAAAATGAAAATAGTGCTAGAAACCTATAAATAAATAAAAATATTCACTAGTATAGAGCCTGTTGGTTGCGACAGCTGAGGTAGCATGAAAAGCGAGGTAGAAGGATCGAGTATTGGATCGAAGACCGAAGATAGGAGGACGAACTGAAATAGTTCCTGCACGGATGAATACTGGCGGAGGAGCATCAACCGGCGGCCAAGGCAGGGAGTGAAAAGGGGTTGTTGTACAGCGTCTGAGACTTCGTCCCGATATCCCGTTTCTACCAGGTGACGCCCACCTGCAGTTTACAATCAAAGGTTTAAGTTTTAATTGTTCTTTTAATAACAACTTTTAATGTTTTTTAAACGAATAACTTGTTAATTGGAGTTTTTGAAGTTTCTTGATGGTTTGTTATCTTTCACTATTAAAGAGGATGTTTCATTGCCATATTGTTTCTTTTGAAAGTCTTACATTCCCATCACCGAAACTTATACAATTGGTGACCTGTGAACGAATACGTATATTTCTGTTTCTGCAAACTGTATTTGAGAAATTCTCCTAGTTGAAGGATCACGGAGAAATGCTGGTATGTTTCAAGTTTTAAAATTTTTGGCAAGCCGTGAGTACAAATTACTTCTATTGTTAGACTTATAAATTTTGGATTAATGCCAAAAATGCCCGAATCTACGGAAACTGCTGATCAACAAATTGCTCGTGTCACTGTAAAGCCACCACCTTTTTGGAGAGCTAATCCAGAATTGTGGTTCAGACAAATTGAAAGTCAGTTCACTCTTGCTGGAGTAACTACAGAGTCAACGAAATTTCACCATGTAATTTCTGCTCTACAACCGGAGGAACTGGCGATTATCAGTGATATTGTTACCTGTCCACCTGTGGATAAGCATTTCACCGCACTTAAAAAAAGATTGTGCGCTCAGTATGCTAAATCTGAAGCTCAACGCTTAAGGGATTTAATTTCGGGGATGCAACTTGGCGACCGCCGTCCTTCAAGACTGCTTCTGGAAATGCGGAATAAAGCCGGCATGAGAATTAACGACGAACTTCTTAAATCTTTATTTTTGCAGAGGTTGCCTACTAATGTTCAGCAGATTTTGGCGATTTCCAACGATAACCTGGACAAGCTGGCAGAGATGGCGGATGGTATCATGGCTACAACAACTAACGCACAGTCAGTCAGCGTGGTTGCTGGTTCAGCGGATCAGACGGATTTACGGTCTTTATTGACAGAGATCACTGCTCGTGTCTCACGGTTGGAAGCCCGTACAAGTGACCGGTCAAGAAGTACTAGTCAGAAACGCTCTACTAGCCGAAGTCGACAGTCTGCAAGTTCACAGTATTGCTGGTATCATAAAATATTCAAACAACGAGCGACAAAATGCAGACCTCCATGTTCATTCTTACCGGAAAACTGCTGAGGCCGTCATCCAGTCAAAAGGGTGACGGCGAAGTGATGATTCAGCGACTTTATCTGACGGACAAGTCTACATCCTCACGTTATCTCATCGATACGGGAGCTGACATATCTGTGATACCTCGTGCTGCCTATGCATCTAGCGACCAGTCTTCTCAGATGAAATTGTTCACCGCAAATGGTTCGACGATTCCAAAGTTTGGCCAACGCCTGTTGAAATTAGACCTCGGACTCAGAGGAGAGTTCAGCTGGCCTTTTATCATCGCTGCCGTGCCTCATTCAATTATCGGAGCTGACTTCTTACGCAATTTTGGGTAATTAGTAGACGTCAAAAATGCTGCAGTAATTGATCCTTTGACCAAGTTGCAAACAAGAGGTACCCGGTATGCTGGGAATGCTTCAATGGTAAAGGTAATTTTAGAGAACTCTAAATTCCACAATTTGTTCTCAGAATTTCCTGCTCTGATTAGGTCAGGTGTCACGCCAAGAAAAGTTAAGCATGGAGTAGAACATTGGATGCACACAAAAGGACCTCCTGTTTTTTCGAAACCTCGACGTTTATCGCCAGATAAGTTGAAGGCTGCAAAACAAGAGTTTGAATTTCTGGTAGCATCAGGGGTTTGTCAGCCTTCCAAAAGCTGTTGGGCAAGTCCGTTGCACATGGTGCTAAAAAAGACTGGCGACCATGTGGTGATTTTCGTCGTCTCAATGGTGTGACCGTGCCAGATAGGTACCCTGTTCCCCACATGCAAGACTGTTTTCAGGTTTTGGAAGGTAAAAGGATATTTTCTACCTTGGACCTGGAAAAAGCGTATTATCAGATCCCGGTGCGTAGCAAAGACGTGCCAAAGACTGCGGTAACAACCCCGTTTGGATTGTTCGAGTTTTTGTATATGCCGTTTGGATTATCAAATGCTGCCGCAACTTTCCAACGCTTCATTCATCAAGTCTTAGATGAGTTTGAATTTTGTGTACCTTATTTTGATGACGTATTAGTAGCTTTGAAGAACGAAGAAGAACATTTAATGCATTTAAAAAGAGTTTTTCAACGTTTTGCTCAATATGGGGTAACACTCAACATAAGCAAATGTGTCCTGGGACAGTCTTCAGTAGAATTCCTAGGGCACTGTGTAACGGAAAAGGGTATTACTCCACTTCCTGATAAAGTTTCTGCAATTGCTGATTTTCCTCAACCAGTTACAATTAGAGAGCTGCGTCGATTTCTTGCAGTCTTGAATTTTTATAGAAGATTCATACCGAGAGCTGCCCACACTCAAGCAATTTTGAAGGAATATTTAAAAGGTGCTAAGAAAAATGATAAAAGCGCGATCGAGTGGTCGGAGGAAGCAGTTGCTGCCTTTGTGAAGAGCGAGAAAGAATTGGCAAATTCAACAACGCTGTACCATCCTGTCATGAATGCACAGTTGGCGATGGTGGTAGGCGCTTCAGATACTGCGATGGGTGCTGCTTTGCATCAGTGGATCGAGAAAGAGTGGCAACCGCTTGGTTTTTATTCAAAGAAGCTTGCACCATCTCAAAAAAAGTATAGTGCTTACGACAGAGAGCTCTTGGCTGTGTACATGGCAGTCAAATACTTTCGTCATATGGTAGAGGGTCGGCCGTTTACTATCTACACTGACCACAAGCCGCTTATATATGCCTTTAAACAAAAGGAAGATAAGTGTTCGCCAAGACAATGGCGTCATTTGGATTTTATTGGCCAATTCACTACGGATATTCAGCACGTGAAGGGAATAGATAATGTGGTTGCAGATGAGCTGTCCCGAGTAAACATTGCTACCATAGAAACACCTTCCCACGTCAATTTTCAAGAAATGGCTGACAACCAAAAAGGTGACCAGGAACTAGCCGAAATTTTAGCTCAAACCGGTAACTCATCTTTAGTACTTCAACCATTCGTAATAAGTGATCCTGGTGTGGAACTGTTTTGTGATGTATCTACCAAACGGATTCGACCATTCGTACCGAAAGTGGACAGAAAAAACGTCTTTTCCAAACTGCATTCTATTTCACATCCAGGTATTAAGGCTACTATAAGGTTGGTGGAAGAGCGATATGTTTGGCCTGGTATAAAGAAAGATGTTAGGACATGGGCTCAGCAATGCTTAGCTTGCCAACGTTCTAAGGTGACACGTCACACGCAGAGCAAGCTTGGTACATTTGTTCCACCAAATTCCAGGTTCCAGCACGTGCACATCGACATCGTAGGTCCCTTGCCGCCATCAGAAGGTTTTCGCTATTGTCTAACTTGCGTCAACTGTTTTCCCAAGTGGCCAGAAGTTTACCCGCTCGTAGATATAATAGCCAAATCGGTTGCTGAGATTTTCTATGCTGGATGAATTGCTAGATTTGGAATACCTCTATGCATCACAACAGACCAGGGAACACAGTTCGAAGCCTCACTGTTCGATGCCCTGACTAAGTTCCTGGGTTCGGCTCGTCATCGAACAAGCCCTTATCATCCCGCAGGAAATGGTCAAGTGGAAAGATTTCACAGACAGATGAAGGGAGCGATTAGAGCCTACAATACAAGTCAGTGGACCAGAGTTTTACCTACGATTCTTTTAGGTTTTAGAGCTGCATGGAAGGAAGACTTGCAAGCAACGACAGCGGAAATGGTTTCTGGAGCTCCGATACGACTGCCTGGAGAATTTTTATGTCCGTCTACTGGTACAGCGGATCCCGCAAACCTTGTTGGAAAGCTCAAAGAGACCATGCAGGAGTTGCTGCCAGTAAAGTCCAGACATCAGGGTCATAGAGCAGTTTTTGTAAGTAAAGACCTTTCATCGTGCAGTCATGTATTCCTGAGGACCGATGTCCTGAAAAAAGGCCTGCAGCCACCATACGAGGGTCTATTTCAAGTGCTGAGTCGAGGGGAGAAGGTTTTTAGGATTCTTATTCATGGGCGGGAAATTACGGTAAATGTGGATTATCTAAAACCAGCATATGTATCCCGAGGTGAACAGGACATATTTCCTAAAAGCGAATCAACAGTTATGAGCGAATCTACAGAGGAATCTACTATCCCAGACCCTAGTGACATGCCAAAAGAGGTTAAGACACGACCAGGCCGTCGAGTTAAGTTTCAGGGAAAGTATCAGCAATGTGCTGGAAAAGTCTCACTAGCGCTGGGAGGGGGCTACTGTAGAGGCTGTTGGTTGCGACAGCTGAGGTAGCATGAAAACCGAGGTAGAAGGATCGAGTATTGGATCGAAGTCCGAAGGTAGGAGGACGAACCGAAATAGTTCCTGCGCGGATGAATCCCGGTGGAGGAGCATCAACCGGCGGCCAAGGCAGGGAGTGAAAAGGGGTTGTTGTACAGTGTTTGAGACTTCGTCCTGATATCCCGTTTCTACCAGGTGACGCCCACCTGCTGTATGAGATATTTACAATCAAAAGTTTAAGTTTTAATTGTTCTTTTAATAACAACTTTTAATGTTTTTTTAACGAATAACTTGTTAATTGGAGTTTGTGAAGTTTCTTGATGGTTTGTTAACTTTTACTATTAAAGAGGATGTTTCATTGCCATATTGTTTCATTTGAAAGTCTTACATTCCCATCACCGAAACTTATACATCTAGAAAAGTGAAAAATCAGAAAATTGATGCTAGCACAAAAATCAAAAGCATAGGACTTGAAATTGCTTAAAATCTTGCTTAGGACTTGAAATTTCATTAAGAGAATTAGTTTATTACACTGTTCATGGAACAAAAAGAAAAAAATGGGCAAAAATTGGGGAATTTAAAAAACACATAGAAAAAAAACAACTTGAAGAAATTTTGAAAATTCCCTGATAAGAATTTTAACATTTATGATGACATTAGACACAAAAGATATCTAGAATTACAAAAAAAAAAGAAAAAAGAATGACTCTACAGAGAAAAATGAAGCCTTCTGTATCTAAACACGAAATAAAAATAACATGAATAAAGTGTTCTACATTTCCAAGAAGACAAATCATATAGAAAAAACTAGCTATTTCATTAATAAATTTAACATTTCTAAAGAAAGGAGAAAATAAAATCTTCAAAAACAGAAACAAGTTCTCAAATGCTGATTAGACTAGTAGTGATCTTCAAATTCAAACATACTCTAAAAACTTTATTTCAATTGTGAAAATGAAAATCACTATCGTTGGTATAAAAGCTCGGGGTGGGTCTTCCACAGAACATTTCTTCTAGCTGTTCTCTGTCACCTGAACTTGTCAGTTCAAAATCTTAATTGCTTTAAAATCTGTGTTAATGAAGCTAAGCCATTGCAAGTTTTGGTTGTCTTCTAGCTTACCAATCAGCTCAAGTCAGAAAAGTTGGGCTAGTTTTGTCTAAAAGATAAATATGCCCTGCAAATCTAATTTTCTTCAACTTTTAATAACTTATTAAATTAGTATAGAAACTATAAAAACACCTACAGCTGACTAAGAACAGTCAGAATATTCTATTAAAATTGATTAAAAAAATATGGATTCTTGATTCTGGCACTACTTCTCATATGATGAAAGATAAATATTATTTAAAAAAATTAAACAGATTAATTCACTTAGGTAAATATTCCACAAATAATGTTAAATGTTCAACAAAAAAATCTAAAAGTATTTTAACTATTAATGATATATTAGTGATGAAAATATTTTAACTATTAGTGATATAATATTTCTATCAAATTTATGAAATAATTCAGGTTCTTCATCTAAACTAATTGATAAAAGCCATAAATTAAAATTAAGAGTAGAACAACATTTTTATTTTAAGTAATGATAATATTGTTTTTAAAGCTATAAAAATAAATGACCATTTTGAAATTATAAAAGAACCTTTAATGATATAATTTTAGCTAATTCAATTAAATGCATTTGAGTAAAAAGTTTGGATATTCATGATATACTGTAATATAAGTCTCAAATTCCAAATATTATTGGTATAAATGCTAGAAATTTCAAATTGTGAATTACTAATAAAGTCAATAATAGAGTCTTTACTTAATAATAAAGTCAAAGGTAAGTAAAAAAAATAAGTGGAATTTCAATACAAATTATAACAGGTAAAACACTTTATCTAGTGCTGAATAAAAAAACTTAAATGCTATTCTGAGTTAAAATGCTGTAATAACAAACCTTATTTAAAAGTAAAGTTTGATGCAAGTTAAAAAAAAATACAAATAGAGGAGAGATTGGCATGAGGCTAGAGTAGACATCTTGAATAATTTTCATTTATTGGTCAAATTTCCCCTGTGAGATTTGAGAGATCGTTGATTCGTAACATTGATGAATACTTCCATCAGAAGTTGCATAATCACACAGTAAATACCTTGTAAAAAGAAGGTTTAATTTTAAAGAAAACTTAAAGGTTTAATAAAATACTTTGTAACAGAAGGTACTAGTTTGAAAAGAAGGTTAAGGTGCAAAAGTAACTTTCAAATTTTCCCTTTACTTTTTTATTAACATATTTTCATTTATTAACATTAACATTTTCAGAATTTTCACATAATATATGATATTACTGTTTCTTTTTAACCAATTTTAATATTAACTTGCTCTGTTTAGTTTCAACTAACCAGCATTAAGCATAAACAAACACATGTCATCGAGGTGCTAGTGTTCGCACATGATGGTGGGCATTGACATTGGGCACCATTCAACAATTGAAGAAATATTAATTGGTTACAAATGTAATACTTTTGATGTTATTTATCTTTTAAATTAGCATGATTTTGTAGAACTATATAACGTTACAAAATAGTGCTTACAATCTCAAGTAAAAAATTTAGCACAAAACTTTATTAAACCACTTTTAAAAAAATTTAAGAAAGTTGAAAGTTTTTTAAAAGAATATAATATAGATGAATTAAAGAAAATAAAGTCCTTAATATTAATATTTTATGTTGAATAATTTATCAATATTTAATGTTTTATTTTTTGTCACACATTAAATTGAAACAAAACATCAGCAAATGAAACCATTTTCTGTTCAGTGAGTTGTTTACATTGCTCCAGGGAGGGAAATATTGCTAAGTCATGCACTTTGTGTGTTGTTCATTTAAACCATTTCATCATTAAATTAAAGCAGAAACTAGTAGAACTACAAGAACTGCATTTTCATACACACTTTAATCAAAATGAAAAATTGCTTTCAGATGTATTGATTTGTGTTTAAAATACTTTTCGTATAATAGCAAAATTCTCTATTATGAATTAGTATTTTAATTAAAGTATGCCAATATTTACCTTAGATTAATATTAATTTCATTTTAGCTTTAGATATACCTTTCTTAATTGTAATAAAGGACTAAATGACTACTTAATAAGTTAACAAGATTGCCCACTCTAGCCCTGTGTAGTAGGGCAAGTATGGATAAATCACCTGTTTAAAAAAATTCTTATGGCATATTAAACAACTTGATAATTCCTAAATATATTAAAAAATATTTCATTAGTTAAAAACTATATTAAATTTGCTTTTCTGACAAATTTGTAAAAATATCCATGCTAGCTCCCCTCTCCCCTATAGCTTTAACTTAAACCATAATTGTAGATAAAACTTTTTATCTACTTTGTAATGAGAAAGACAGGCTTATGGATAATTTTACCAGGTTGCGTAGCCAGATTTTTCATCAAAGAATAAGCACTTTTTAAGCATTCAAAAAATATTTTTAATCACTTTCAAAAAACAAAAATCATAACTAGGATCTGTGCAGTAACAAAATTTTTTTTCTATGGTTTAAGTTCTTAATTTATAAACATAAAATCACTAAAACTCAAAAACATTTTCAAAAACTTTACATAATCATGATAAAATAACTAATTTCTGATAAATATTGCAGAGAAAATTATAAAAAACATGAATTTTTTGTAATTTAGAACGACAATCGATATGGCAAAGAAAAATTCTCTTCTTAAAAGATAAAAAAATTAAGCACTTATTACAAACACCAAATAAAAAAGCACTTTTAAGGGCTTTTGAAAAACGTAAATCAAAAATAAGCATTTTTAAGCACTTTTTAAAAATGCTACGCACCCTGTTTACATTTAGGACTGCCACCAAGCTTCTTCTTGCATTTCTTTTTTTTCACAGGTCCACCTATGTATAAAGAAAGTTTTTAGTAATATATATGTTTAGTATATGATTTATTAACTCAGTGGTATTAATAAAACTTGATTATGTTATTTTAATTGTTTTTTTATATATTTAATTAAGTATTGCAATATTGTATAACATAAAATATTGAAAAGCTAGTTATTTTAATTTTTTAAAAATTTCATACAAAAAATTTCCCTGATTTTTTTCTACATTTTAGTTTTAACTTGTTTAAAAGAGATACAAAAAAATAGCTTGAAAATTAATACTAATACTTAAACTGGATTGCAATTATAAATTTTTTAAATATGTCATATTTCTTTTCTAACAAAAAAAGAGTTCGGTTCCCAAAACTTATTTCTTACGGGGAAGTTTTCTGGAAGTGGTAGAAACTTGCCATCCTTGATGGTAAATAATGTGAGCAAATTTAGAATTACATCAACCTCTCTCAAATGCTTAAAATTTAATAGACATCCCATGTTCTGTAGTTTCTAAAATTAGCAAAACAATGCAATTATTAACAGAGTTCAAGTTTCTCAAAGTTTACTTTTAAATGCTTCTTAAATTCATTATGTTTGCTGCAATCAAAAGTATAAATAGGAATGAAGTGTTTTCTACATTTTATTTTTTTCAGTTTAATTTTAGAATTATTTTCTGCCAGTGTAAACAAATTTGTATTGTATAAATACAGCACGTTTATGTTTATTATTGTCAAATTACATTTTTTATATTATATAAAAAACTGTTAAAGAAAAAAATATTAAATGAACTAAAAATATTTTTAAAGTATATTTTCTTAATTATTGAATGTTACAATAAGTCAATAAGAATATTGTTAAATTTAGAGATCCATCATGTTAAAATAAACAATAAAAAAGTAATTTATTCTTCATTTTTCAAACAGTTTGTACTGTAACATACCTTTACTATTTAATATGTTTTATTTATGCACATTTTTCTTTTTCATTTGTTTTCATTTATCTAAGAATTTTAAATATTTTGAATTAAAAAAAAATTTATTGCCTTGAATATCTCACTCTCATTCATATTAAAATATGTTTTGATTCAATAAATGAAAAACAAAAGTATATTTCAGAACAATTAATTAATATTAATACAATAATTTGTATACTTTAAAATAAGAACATTAATATAAATAGTTCTGAATCACATTTCCTTATATACTAACAATTACAGAGGTTAAATAACTTTTACATACATGCAATACTAAAAAATTTTTTGATATTAAATGGTTATTTGCGTGGTAAGTGAAGTAGCAATAAATACTAGAAATCTTTAGTTATTATAGTATTTTTTATCATGTTCACTTAATTAGGAACAAAAGTGAATATCTCTGTAATTTTTATTAAAATATTAATCATTAGTTAAAACAATTTCTTTGAAATACTTATAATACTATAAAATTTTAAATAAATCAAAAAAAAAAAAAAACTGGGTTAAACCATGAAAAAAAAACTTTTTTTTGGATAAAAAAAAAATTTTTATCAAAAAAAAGGATAAAAAAATTTTTTTTATTATCCTGAATCTTATTTATTTCCAGAGTGAGAAAAACTGCACATTTCACCATATCTAATCCTTTCCTATTAATTTCTCTCATAGCATAAAGAATAAAAATTTAAATTAGATGTTTGGTGTAGTGTGATGCAATACTAGACCAAACTGTCTAAATTATACTATTACTTTGATTCGGTGCTTAAAATATTTGAAAAATCTGAGTCAGCTGTATGAAAGCATGGCCAGTAGACAAAGATAGACTTAAAAAACAAAAGAAGCCCCTTAAAAAAAGAAGACTCCTGTTCTACTAATTGTATTTTCATACATTACATAGAAAATATCATTATTAGAAATGCTAACAAGAGGTATTAATGTAGTTAAACACAAAAATTTAATTCCTCATAAGTATATATATTAACAATATGCAACTTTCGTGTGCTTATTCAAAGTGAAATCCACCAATGGCTCTTGACGTAATATCGCAGATTTTCATGAAAAGTTTTTGATGAAAAATGGCTAATTTTTTTTAGAATTTTTGAATCAAAACTATAGTTAGAGGGTCATTTTGAAATTTGACTTAAATTAAGAAAATGACATAACTACAGATGGTGGTAAATATTTTAAAAATGTCTATATCTTTTCTTTTATTTATGAGCCAATTATTTTAATTTTTCTTTCATTAGAAAAAAAAATCAACACTAAGCTACTGAAATGTTGAAAATATAAGGATAATTTTTTAATCATGTAACTTTTCAAAGAAATTTTCTGCAAATTTCAAGAATTTAATATTGGGAAGTAACAACTTTCACAACCTCAGTTTCTTTTTTCTCAAAATGTTAAATATACTTTTTAACAAAAAAAAATCAAGAGGGTATTTTTTTTTTCATAAAAAAGTCGTTTTCTGATAAGATATGTATATAAAGCCTTTCTGAGCCTTTTAAAGATTTTTATATATATATATATATATATATATAACAACTGGGTTTTTTTTGTTTTTGGATATTAAAAAAAAGTGATTTTTAGCTAAAATAGTCAAAGATTTTTCAATAGCACAAAGACAAAGTTTCTTGACCTTAAATTTTTTTTTCTCATAATGTAAAATGCTATATTTTTCAATATAGAAAAAAAAACTAAGAAGGTGTTTTTTTTATTGAGATTGGAGAACTTCGTTATTTCACCTACATTTTTTTTTAAGTATTTGGACTAAAAATCACTTTTTATTATTTTAAGGACCAAAACCAAAAACTTTTTTAACTTCTTTCTTGCTGAAAAGTATAACATTTAATATTATATATGTAAAAATGACAACAAGAAACTTTGTTTTCGTGCTATAAAAATTTTTAATTTTGGCTAATAAAAAAAACACTTTTTATCCTTTTTAAGACAAAAAATACTTCCTAATTTTTTAGAGTGAAAAATACAACATTTCAAGTTGCAAAAAAAAGAAAAGAAAAACAATTGAAGTCAAGAAAGTTTTTGTGCTATAAGAAATTAAGCAACAAGAAATTAAGACTAAGAAACAGTTTTCATATTTTCACTGACCAAAAAAAAAAAAAACCCTTTTGATATTTTTCAAATTGAAAAAGATGACATTAAACAACAGAAGAAAAAAAATTGAGGTCAATAAACTGTCTTGTTATTATAAGGAAATCTTTATGTATTTTGGCAAAAAACCATTTTTTGTTTTTTTAATGACAAAAACAGAAAATCCCCATTTTATTTTTATATGGAAAAATATAGTCAATATTATAAAGAAAAAACTCTTAAGGCTACGAAATATTGTTTTTGTGCTAAAAAAAAATCTTGAAGAATTTTTGTTGAAAATCATTTTTTATTTATTTAGACAAAAAACATTCACTTGATTTTCATATGCTTAACAGTAACATAACATAGTATTTAACATAATGAGGAAAAAATTAGGTGGTGCAAGTTACTTCTTATTAAGAAATTCTTAAAATTTGAAGATAAAAAAACTAATAAATTTTTTAAAAAAATTATTACATTTTGATAGTGTAATTGCATAGTGTTGTGTCGACCTTTCTTTTATAATGATACCAAAATTAAGAAAATTAGCTTATAAATAAGAAAGATATGGATACTTTCAACAAAAGAGCCACCATCTAGAGTTACACAATTTCCTTAAATTGAGTCAAATTTCAAAATGGCCTAACATTAGTTTTAGTTCAATATTTTGAAAAAATTATTTTAGTTGTTTTTCTACAAAAATTGTCATGAAAATCTGCGACATGACCACACTGAGACTTATTTTTATTTGGGTCAATTTCACTTAGAATGAGCTAGTTTACACTGGTGAAATAAATTAAGAGAATTTGCATATTTTATCGAATTTCATGAAAAGAACTGAACTGAATGCTAAACTACTGCTTCTAGATAAAAATGCAAATCTTGCACATCTTAGTACAGACATAATCGTACACATGTGTGTAGGCGTAACCAGTAAAGAAACAGGCTATATAAGTGAGCGTAAATTAAGCCGCATTTCATTCGCTAGCACACCTTGGCGAACTTTTTGGTATTATTTTGCAGCAATAGGTTAAATTTATATTGTAACAGTAAAAATGAGTAACCACCTACGTTTACATGATGGATTGAGGTGGCAAATTGTGGGAAGGCTAGAAACAGGTCAATCTCAGGTCCAGACTTGTAGAGAGTTCAATTTAAAGCCCAGCATCGTGTGTAACTTATTGAAACAGTTTCAGGATAACGGATTCAAGGAAAGGAAGCCTGAGCAAGATCGACCAAGAAACACTACAGCAGAGAAGATTGCCATGTGTCCATTACAGCAAAGCGTAACAGAAGGGCTGCAGTTTCTCAACTCTCTTGTGACTTGTATGCAGCCACAGGAGCCCGTGTATCAAGGGCGACTGTTTTCAAACGACTTCATCAGAAAGGGTTGTTTGCAAGAATACTTCCTGTTAGCGTCACGCTCACTTCTACAAACAGGAGAGTCCACTCAGCATAGTGCATAGAGATTGGAGTATGGATCAATGGGCGACGGTTCTCTTCACTGATCAGTCCCGGTTCAGCCTAAACACAGATTCTCACTGTACATTCATATGGAGAGAGCCAGGGACCCACTACCTACCCTTCAATGTCCGCGACATCGACCATTATGGCGGAGCAGATTTAAAAGTCTCATGTTGGATAAGTCTCTGGGCAAGTCTCATGTTGGATAGCCGCACACCTCTCCATGTCTTTGAATGAGGATATGTGACTGGTGTGAGGTATAGCGATGAGGTCTTGGAGCCCTATGTTTGCTTTTTCAGGGGTGTAGTTGGCCGAGTTCATTTTAATGGACGATAATGCACGGCCACATAGAGCTCACCTGGTCAACGAATTTCTAGAAAGGGAGGATAGTCGCTTGATGGATTGGCCAGAAAGATCTCCAGGCCTCAACCCTATAGAGCATATCTGGGATGCTCTGGGGAGGGCAATTGCAACTTGTTACCCCCTCCGAGAACCATCCAGGGAATGAAAACAGTCTTGCGGAACGAGTGGGACCAATTGCTACATGAAATGATAAACTGCCTTATTTCAAGTATGAAATCATGCTGCAAAGCCTGTATACCTGTAAGAGGAGACCATACCCCCTATTAACCCATTTTTTTGTTTATTCTGCAACCGCTGTTTCATGCATTTGGACTCCAATGAGTATTACGCACGATCACAATTGTGTATTACAATTGTTGAATGGTTATTTGTTTTGGATTGCATCAATGTATGTACATATCAAATTTAATTACAATCGATCCAGTAGTTCTAGAGATAATCGACCAAGTCTGCAAATTCTCTTAATTTCTTACACCAGTGTATTTCCAGTCAAAAATAGCAAACAACAGTTTTCAAAATATGACAAAAATAATAAAACCTAGAAAAATTAAAATCTTCACAACAAATTGCAAATATCGAGACTTTTAAACATAATTATAGAACTTGTTTATTATTAGGAAATTAAATTTATATAGTGAACAGAATCAACACAGTTAACTCATTATTTTGATTCTTGTTCACCAAACAATACTCTTTTTCAAATGATAAATAAGATTATTTAATGTGGAAAAAATATTTTCAATATTAGAAATAAGTATACTTTTAAAATTTTATAGCAGTAGCGCATATTAAGGAAATATCTAGACGTAAGGAAAAAAAACTATCTGAAATTGAATTCAATAATATGCAACATTAAAAACAAAAGAAAAACTAACCTTCTTCTAAAAATATATTCCTAGTAGTTGTCAAAACATTCTGATTAGCTTCTAAAACAATTCTGAAATTTAAAAAAAATGTGAAATTTTATAAAAGCAAGAGATAAGCAAAACTTTAAATACCATATTGACTAATTAAAAAAAATCACTTCAACAAGCAAAATATAAGTTTTCATTATGGAACAATAGGAACAATAAATCTAGCAAAAATTATATTTCTTACAAAACATTTGAGGGGTTAATGCCGGCACCCCCTGGATACTCTTCATTGACTAACTAAATGGCAGGCAGTTTAAATTGATGCTTCAAGTTAAACCTTATGATACAGCATTATCTGTTGCACCAGTTAACAAGGGGTGCGTTCAGGAATCAGGCAGAGTTTCTTGTTCGAAAAGTAAACTACAGTCTCCAGTAGCACATGGTATGCCTTTGGGTGAGCCCAGTGCTAATATTGCTGCTTTGCAGCTTATTGCTAGTAATGCTGGCAAGGAGAGGTCCAAAGGCACAAGTCCTGCTTCCGTTGGAGTTTCGGCCAGAGACAATCAGGGGACAGTATGCCTGGCACCGCGGGACTATCTAAGAGACAGAGAAAGAAACTGAAGAAAAAGTGGAAGACGCTAAGAGAAGTGATGGAGCTAAGAGGCCTTCAGATGCAACGCCCGACCCCCCGTGTGCTGACCCAACTTGGTAGGAAACCCAGGGAGAATGTTGCTCTTGGGAGGAGGGCCCAATATGGGGAGGTGGTCCCTCTTAGTGTTTTCATACTCAGATCATTAAAATTAGATATAAGAACAATATCATCGGCAAAATCCAGGTCTTCTAAAGTGGTGTCAAATTTTCATTGTATGTGATTTTGAATTGTTTGCCTCATGATTCAATTGATGACAATTATAAATAGGAATTCCACAAGGACACAGCCTTGTCTTACTCCTTTTTGAACATTAAATGATCTAGTCAGTGTGCCATCAACTTCTGCACTGGCTTTACTGCTGTCAAAAATACTCTTTATGATGTTTAAAATTTTTTCAGGGATAATTCCTTAAGATCATCCACAGCATACCCTTATTGAGAGAGTCAAATGTCTTAGACTCAGAGGTTGGGCAGCTCCAAAAAGCAGGTCACATCGACCAGAGGTCTATTGAACCAAAACCCTAAATCAGGATTAACAAGAAAACCTTATGGCTAAAATGAAATTCAGAAAACACCTAGCAGGAAGTCAAATGCCTTACTGAAATCAATAAAAGTTAAGTATAAGGAAGAATTCATTTCCAGACTTTGTTCAATTATGTTTCTGAGTACAAAAATCTGTCGTGTTGAGTACAAAAATCTGTTGTGCTGCTCCGACAGCTATCAATCTTACAAACGGAAAATATAGTGAGTCAGACGAAGAGGCTCTTGGTGAATTATTTGAAGCTCACTTCCCTGGATTTCATCCTGTAGAGAATGACTATGTTTTCAAAAGTCCTACAGCTACTTACAGTGAAAATGACTGGGAGGCCCCCAAGATGGTGATCTCCTACGAAAAGTAATATGCTCTATTAAATATTTAAGCCCTATAAGTCACCAGGTATGGATGATATCATACTTGTAATGCTTACTAAGGAGATTGACATACTATACTCTATTCTATGTAGGATCTTTTGAACCTGTATAGCCTTTGGGTATAAACCTCATTCTTGGAGGAATACCAGGGTAATTTTCTTCCCAAAACCAAGTAAGGAAAATTACTTTGAGGCTAAATCATTTAGACCAATCAGCCTCACCTCTTGTCTGTCTTGCCTCACTTCATAACTGTTGAAAGCCATAGAAAAACTTATTGGCAGATATTTTAGAGACTCTGTACTCGTTGATAAGCCACTGTTCTCCTCACAGTATGCTATGCTTATCAACCTGGCTCTCTGCTATCAATAGACTCTGCTTTATATGAGTTCTCCTTCATGCTTGAGAAAGCACTCTCAGATGAAGAGATTGCTCTGGCGGTATTTTTTTGATATTGAAGATGTTTTTGACAAAGTCCCTGTTGAGACTATCATCAATGCACTTAAAACCAGAGGTATCAATCTGGATATCACCAGGTGGATAGCTAATCAGTTGTCCTCCAGGTATGTTTGTTCCTCTTTACTGGGCACAAGCATGAGAGTTCATGCTACTTTAGGCTGCCCTCAAGGAGGGGCTTCGTCACCCATCATTAAGGTGTATGGTTATGGACTCTGCTAGTTTGGCTAGCCAATCTTGGCCTTCCCTGTGTTGGGTATGCTGATGATGGTGATATTGTTGTCAGAGGCAATTATGGTAAAACAGTATTTGAAATCATGAATAGTGCACTTCCAGAAGTAGCTAGATAATGCTTTGAATCTGGCTTATCTGTTAAAAATTCCAAGATAAGTCTTGTGGCCTTCACCAGGAAAAGGCTTCTTAATCTAGGTGATGTGTATTACCTAGATTATAGGTTAGAACTAACTGTGAAAGTCAAATTTCTTGGTGATTTTAAAGACTCCAAACATAACTGGGGTTCTCATCTAGAATACTGTATCCACAGGGCCAAGATGATATCCTGGTCTTGCAGAAATGCTATTGGTAGAACCTGGGGGTTATGCCCCAAGATAGCTCAGTTTACAGGATGTACTCAATGATTATTAACCCCATTGACAAACATGGCGCTATTGTCTGGTGGTCTAGGATTAGGATCAGCTCCATCAGGTCAAGTCTTAACAGACTGCAAAGAAAGGTCTGTGTAGCCTTGTCAGGCTGTCTCAGGACCACTCCTGCAGCTGCTCTTGAGAGCTTACTTGGGCTTCTCCCATTGAATTGAAGCTGAAGCTCAGACAGGTATTAAACATCTTATGTACCTCGGCTTATGGAAGGAATATTCCAAGCATTTGTCAAGGGGTCATCTTGTTTTGCAGGTGTCAGATATTTTTTCTTTTATCATGCCTAGTAAGTCTTGCATAGTCTTGAAAGGCTTTTCATAAGCCCTTCAAGATCCATTTTCCTACTAGACATGAATGGACTAAATCTTCTCGATGGCTTGAAGGCAAGTGTCTGGTATGGGACACTGATGTATCAAGGCTTGGTCTTAAAGCAGGGGCAGGAATTTACTGCTCCAATGATGGTACCATACTCTACTTTCCTCTAGGTAGTTAAGCCACTGCTTTTCAGGCTGAGGTCAAAGCTATTATCTTGAGCTGCAGGATATGCTTAAACAGGGATTATCTAAATATACCTATCCAAATCTGTTCTGACAGTCAGGCTGCTCTCTTATCAAAGTGTAAATTCACTTCTTCACTAGTGTGGGAATGCTTCTGAGTTCTTTGTGACCTTTCTACTCGTAACAAAATATACCTACATTGGGTATCTGGACATATAGGATATTTTTCGAAATGAGCTGGCTGAAGAAGCAACACAAGCCATCTCCAGTGTGATTTTCTGGGGACCTGAACCAACTTTGGGAATCTCACTCACATCGTTCATGGCATCTATTTTCAAGCTCTATGGCAAAATTACCCAGGAGCAATGGTGCAACTCGGATTGTAAGAGACAGGCTAAAGAGCTGAATCATAACTGTCAAAGTGTGCGTCATAAAGAGCTTCTTAAGCTAAACAGGAACAGTTTGAGGAACATTGGTCTCCTCACTGGACACTGCATCCTCAGGAGACACCTGTACATAATGGGTGTTGTATCTGATCCTCTTTGTCAAGGTTGTACCAAAGTAATATGGGACATTATTAAACCTGGTATGATGGTGATTCTGTGAGAAAATTATTTTTTAAGCGTAAATGGATATTAGAAAGAATTTAAATGTAGTTCATATTAGTAATAATTGTGCTGAAATAGCAAATGTGCAAACAGCCCATGGAACTTTTAAAAGGGCTATATTAAAAATACGCATATTGAACTTTTAAAAGGGCTATATTAAAAATATGCATATTACCAGTTAATACTGAATAATGAGAAAAAAATATGTTATGAATAAAAAATTGTATGTATTAAAGTTCTTGTTCTTCCTGAATGAATATTTTCTTAATTTCATTTTTATTATAAATGTTATTGTATTTATTTAAACTTCATATAGCATATATATTCTACATTTTTACTACTTGGTTTCTGTTATGAAAGAATTTGGGGAAAAAATTCATATTTAAATATTGATATTGATTGAATTTTCATTAGTATTAATTTGTTCATGTTTCTAGAAGTTTTTTTTCCAAGATGTGTGTCGAATGTTTATTAGAATTGAAGATTAATGTTTTAAATGATTTATGTTTAAAGATAATTTGTGTGGCTAAAAGGGCCATGTTGGGAGTTTACGGCATTCTGCCTAGGCCTCTTTTGATTTACTCTTTTAATATTAAAATAGCTACTTGTCTATAATTGGAATAGAAGTTGCTTGTTCTTAATTAGGATCAATTGTTAATAATTAATGCAAAATATGATAGTAGCAAATTCGGATGCAATTTGTTAAGCTGTTATGCTTAATAATTAATACTGATAATTGCTTTTGCTAAGCTATTCAAGCTCAGAAATGTATATAGTATAAATATTTGTCTTCAAGCAAATGATATTTAAAAAATAATCAACCAAAATTTGTTTCTGAGCTTGGTTTCAACATTATTCACATTAACCTTAAATGTAAAAAATTGCAATTCACATTCTATTTCCATAAATATAATATGATCAAATGCACACTGTCAACAAAGATATTAGCCCCTGTATAAAAAAAAATGCCTTAATTAACCTTAAAAAATCAAAATGTCTTAACACCAAGGAAAATACAACTTTAAAAATAACCACCACTATTTAATCCATATTTGTTTTAACAATTTTTCTCCTCCAACTTTCTTCATCATTACATTACTTATAATATAATCTCACATTGATATTTACCACCTCTCAACCTATTTATTATTACATCATGTTTTTCTTCTCTGTTATAACACATCCAATTCAAACACCACATTATCAGCTATTATCGCTGATTCGGGATATGAAAAAAATCATTAAAAAATAGCTGCAGAGTGATAACATATCAGTTCTAGAAGCATATTTTTTGGCAACAAGTCGCAACAATCGTTGATAATTTATGAGATTTAGAATAAATTCATTTTTTTATTAAACTAATATTTTGAAGTTGAAAATAAGAAAATGGTAAAGTCCAGTAGAATATAATAAAAAATATCCAAACATTCAAATCATTTTGAAAAGTTAAGAACAATTAAAATTTAATAACTAAAATTCAAAATATAATTAATAATTATAAAAGAAAATCTACCTCTTGAGTAAAGATTCATCCGGTTCAATTACACTAGACTGAAGAAGAAACTCATTCACAGTTGAAGTTAGAGGAGTAAGACCGAGATAGGCATTTTCCAGTATGCTTCCTTCCATATTGAATACCATGAACTACTTTGCTCTATAAAACAGGCATGATTAGAACAAAAAATTTAGAAGAAATCATGGATGGTACAAAAAATTATTAGATATATCTTAAGTACCAATGCAAAATTAAAGTAAAATTTATTTCTTCAGTCAAAAATTAATAGAATGGAAATTTTTACCTTAAATTATTTATTATACACTAAAAAGGCAATAGGGTTGAAGTCAAAGAATAGTGATATCAAAAAATTTTAAATAATGAAATATTGCAAAATACAAGTTAACCATAGATATTAGAAGTAAAATACCCAAGATTTTATAACTTGGGTGAATTAATTTGTCTTATACTATGAAAAAAAATTTATTCAATTGAACATACAAATTATTAAAAAGGTTATTCTTTAATGCTCTTTATTTAAGAGCGGTTATGGTTTAAAATTCTTTACATTCACATTTCTAATCATAATTCTCAGTATTTGTGGTTTTAAAAGTAACATCCAAACTAGGGATGTAACGAATAGTGATTTGGTCAAAAATATCGACCGCATACTGAATATTCAGCCAAATAGCAAATTTTTTTTTAAAAAAATAACTAATAAATATGGGTGTATAGGATTTTTAAAATGTGCTTTAAGGTTTTTTTCTTTTTTTCCTGCTTTTTAAAAGCCCTTTAAGGTGCTTTTTTTTATTGAGTATTTTTAAAAAGTGTATAATTTTCCCTTTCCCAATATGAGATTTTTTTAGGTTGATTTTTGCCTTGAATTATACTACAAGACATTTCTCTATTCAAAGTTTTCACTAATTCAACCCTAACCCATTTCAGCGTATTGTCGGTCCATAGCATATGAAAGCATTAATCATATTACATGTTTGATGAAATACCTGCAGGCCTGCATGTGTATATACAGAACTAGATTCAGTGGGGAGAATTCTCACACTCTCATGTGGAACTCGGCTGCGTTTTCAAAAATCTCTCAAATTTTCACTAATTGCAGGGACAGACTAAATATTGCCAATTTTTTTTCCCTAATAGCAAAAGAAAATTTTATTTCTCTTGTTAATGTCATTGTTGGTGAAGTGTCATCGTCTTCATCATTGGCAAGCTAATGGCCTTCTCTCGATATTTTATTTATAGAGCAATACTCAAATCTTTAAATTTGACTTGGGGATCACTTACTAATTACGTATTTTCATGTGGGTCCTCCCCAGAGCTGTCAAGAATCACAAAGCTTCGTCATCTCAAAATTTCCATGTCTTTTTATTCAATTAATTTAATAAACATAAGAATTAATTGAGAATTTCATACGCAAGATATTTTTCCTGAGGGACAGACTACTAATTGCATAATTTCTTAAACCTACATTGTACTTTTTTTAAATTAAAACTTTTTATTATTGTATTTTTACTTTGAAAATTTTCAGTATACCTAATTTGTTTTATGAAAAAATTTAATAATATTAAGAGACAAGATTTTGAAAAAAGTATGAAGAGAGGGGCTTTCAATATTTTAAACGCAGCATGCTATTCAGATTTGTCATTCCAAAAAACTTTAATTCATCACTTAATGATTTGATTTTTAAAAAAATTGAAATAAAAAACTAAATTATCTCATATTTGTTAAATATTATTTGTGTTGGGATCATATAATAATTTATTTCTGTCAAAAATATTCAGTTTCAATACTTATTGTATTTACATTTCAAAAAAAAAATTTTTTTTTTAGTCATTCCACTAAAGAAATACTAAATATAAGAATTTATTAGGAGACATTCACTAATTTACATTTGCAATATGAATTTATTAAAGTTTTCTTAGTTCTTTACTTAACTTCATAAATTTGGTATGATCAATAATATTAATCTATATTAATAATATTTATCTTTTATTTAAATCTAAAAAATACATTCTATAACCTTTTTAAATAATAGTTAATAAATATATATCATTTAATAAATATATATCAAAAATAAAATGAGCCACTCAATATTGAATATTTTTAAAATTGTGTATCAACTGTTTCGATGGTGGCCAATATAATCCAGAAAAAGAGTTGTTAGAAGTTATTTTATCATGATTATGTGAAGTTCTTTGAAAACTAGTTTGCATTTTGCTTAAGTATTTATGAAGAAGGTTTAACAATAAAAAGAAAGACATTTTTATTAGTGTGTACATCTTAACTATGATTTTTTTAAGTGCTTAAATATATTTGAGTGCTTATTTTTTGTTGAAAAATTTGGCTTTGCACCCTGATATTTTTTATATATAAATAAGTTTAGTCGGTCGTTATTAAAAAATAATCAAAACTTAGCTGTATTTTTAGTATGGAGCAAAGGGAAAAAAACTTTATTAGAAAGGTTTAAGATAATAAAGCTAATTTAGATTTTAAGATAATATTCCATATAAAGAAATATTCAAGATGAATAAAAAAAGCTGACTAACAGCCATACGGAAAAAAAATTTGAAGTTGTAAAAAAGAGAAATAGAAAAAAAATATCCTCTTAATTCTGAAAACAAAACTTTTAATTCTAAAAACAATATTTTCCGAAAAATAATTATCCATAAAATATTAAAGGAGATTAAGTATATCATCAATGCCTTTAAAAATGCAGTGCCATGATAAAAATGCCTATATATATATATGTGTGTGTGTGTGTGCATAACTATGTGTATGGATATAAATTAAGATTATATACAAAAGCAAAACAGAAAAATAAAAATTGATCTCATTTTTTTAAAGCTCAACATCTGTTTTCAAACTGGCGTATTTTCAAGAAAAAGAAGTTTTAAGTCTAATAGAAATCCTCTTAATTACCACACTATAATAAAAAAGTCTATAAAAACAGGAATTTCCTTGAAAAAGGAAAAGCTAGATAGAAACCAAAACAAAAATAAAACGTTAAAAATCTCAATTTAACTTTTTCTTATTGCTGTATTTTCAGGAATAAAATTATCATAAAAGAATAATGTTCATTAGATATGCTCTTTAAAAAGTGTTGTCTAAATAAAAATACTGAGAAAAAGTTAATAAAAAAAAGCTAAAATGAAAGAGAAAAAAAAAATTCTTAGTTCTGAAATATAACTTTAAAGTTGAGAATCACAGTTTTCTATGTTACCCGTTGTTTGTCTTACCATACAAAAAAAGTGACAATTAAAGAATAAAGTCTATTAAAAACGCTTTGTTAAAATGATGTGTTATAGTCAATACAGAAGAACAAGCAACAATGAAACAAAAAAATAATAAAAAGTTCTCAATTTTTAAAACATAAATTGTTGAAAAAACGACAAAATTAACTTGTTTAAATATTATTGAAAGAAAAAAAAATTACAAAACTTATGGTTCACTATAAAGTAATCTAGTTTCAATATTTCAGATTTCACTTTCAATTGACTTTGAGAACATTAACAAGTTTTAGAACTTAACGAATGTGTTTAAATATTATGTTTGAGATGTTTTCACCAAACTGGGATTAATCCTCACTTTCTTCGTCATTAGCATCTGGCGTTACTGTTTTCTCCTCAAAACAAAATTACTTACATTTTTTTCCCCTCATATGTTTGTAAAATTCCCTTACGATGGATAGGAATCTTTTAGTTTCAGAAACCATCTAAACAGGTAGTTTAGTTGATTTCAAAATTATATTCCTGCCAAAACTTTCCTTGATTTGATTAGGGATGTAACAAGTATTCAGCCTTCTTTGCCGAATACTCGGTTGGCCAAATATTCGGCAAAGTAATATTTGGAAAAGTATTTTTCGATAAATTTTTTTCTTTTAGGGGTAAATTTGAATAGATTTGATAAAGAATATTCTAAAATCATATTTTTGAAAGTTAAAGTGTGATGTTGGTAGAAATTATGGATGCAGAAACTGAAAATATTAATGGAAACAAAGATAAGGAAACCAGAACCAGATTTGTACACACAGCCTTAAACCCTTGGGTATTACGAAAAAAACTTTCTGTATTCATACTAATTTTTTAAAAAATAAATCAACAACAGCAATATGTTACAAATTGCTAAAAGTTATTGCTTGTGTACAGAACAAAAAAGTGAGTTCAGATCAAAATTTTAATTTTAAATATATGTGCTTATTCATCTATCTTTTGAATTTTAAATATTTTAGCAGTTAGTGCTTATTTTTTTTCAATGGAAATTTTTTTTATACTTATTATAAATTTATTAATTTTCATACATGAAATCATGCTTCATAAAGCAAGTTTTTTACTTTATTATTTTCCTGTAATTATCATTCCCACGAAAAACAATAGATAAAAGTTTCACTGTATTACACATTACACATATGTGCTATTATTCCAACTCAATTTTTATTATTTGTGCATGTAAGTTTCATGATATTTTTAATAATATTGGATATTTTTATATATATCAAATATTTTGATAACTGTTGATAAGTATTTTTAGAGACAATATAAAAGTAAGAAATCCCGCTTTATAAATGTTTTTAATATTATACAAATTCTTTTTCAGTTCTCAAATATGTTTCTGTATTCACCAAAATGTAGAATAAGATTAATATCAAGTGTCAATTAAAGACTGGAAGCTTTCATCAAATGAGAAAATCCATGCTTAGAGATTGATAAGAACCTTTTTTTTTTTCAGTATTAGTTAGAAACTGATACCAGTACAACTGATTATCAGTTACAAGTACCTATAGTTTCGGTATCATACAGGTTGATATTAAATAAATAGAAAAGCTGAAAAATAGACAATGTTACTGCTGTTAAGTATTACTTTTCATTTGCTTTAGTTTGAACTTTGCCCGCAAGATAAAATTTTAGTTGATTTAAATAAAATTCTAAATTACAAATATTGTGTTTAGAACAATAACATATTTAACATGCATTCATTATTAATAGTTCGAATCAGTGTTAGCAGTAAGGGTAGATGTGGGGTGACATGAACTCACATTTTTCAAAAAACTGTCCATTTGTCCCCCTACTTCGAATTCCACTAAAACCCATACCACTTCTAAAATAATTGATCTACACTCCTTTAACTTCAGTGAAGATTCTAGTGGA